TCCTCGATCATTAGTTGGAGGAAATACCCTCTAACTAATTCTTTTCATTGGTGAATTATAAACGGTAACCTCTCCAAGATTACATGTAGCTCCATCCATGATTGGAGGAAATTCCTGCCAGACTAAGGATTAATCGGATGAAATTGGGTTATTTTCCTCCATCCTTAGATGGATGAAATCAATCATCAAACCAGACTTTTGATTAGTGGATTACAACTATGGGCACTACCCACGTATAAACCTAACCAAAATAAAATAAGGATTGTGTCTATATTTGTCATCCATCAATCAAGAATCTTGTCGAGAAAGTTTTTTCCAAACTATGAATTGATGAAAACATCGCCCCTTTTAGTTAAAAATACATTCAATTGTATCCTTATTCTTAAACACCAATTAAAGCCAATTTTCTCAAATGAGTAGAACATGGGCCTTAATAGCAACAAGGTGTGGGCCTATATGGCAAAGAGTGTTTGCTTCTATTTATTGTGATCTTGGATTTAAGTCTTGTTGGGAACACCCTGAGAGTAAAATCTTAAATGCGCTAAGCCGATGTGAGAAGTGCGCCTTTAAGATCGTCTAGAGAGCTAGACGAATCGATGTGCGCAAAAGCCGGCAAAAACACCACCTAACCCACAATACCAAAAAAGACACGATGGCCCTTAACATACATAGTCTTAAACTCTGCGCGAAGAAGATTCTATATGAATTATGGATTTTGGTGATTACCTCCTTTAACCTTGTGGGCATCAAGACCACTCGCAGAATGGTTTACTTCCATTTGGCGACATAAAGACATCAGAAATTCAAAAAAAAAATTTAAAAAAAAACAAAGGAAGGGAAAAGGAACAATCACGGAAACAAAAGGACATGGAAGAGAAAGGGAACGTGTCAGAAGTGGGATTTGAACCCACGCCCTCTTTCGAGGACCAGAACTTGAGTCTGGCGCCTTAGACCACTCGGCCATCCTGACGATGTGACCTTCGTGTCGATATTATTTTATTTAAACAATATAAACAATTAAAGGTGCATCTAAAATGAAGCAGCAAAAAACGATTGAGAACGCCATGAGTGGACGTGCCGTGGTCTCCAGTATAACTATGCTCTCGCATCTGAATAGGTAACGTCATGACAACGTACCCGTTAATGCCAAGTACACTGGATTCGACGTACAAAACCAATGTACAAAATGACGTGATATATTTTGAAGCAAGCATTCAAATGGGAGGTCCGGTCATCGTGTCGAGGCGACCGATCGGCCTTAGTCACGCAATGCCTTATCGTGTCCGAAATTTTCATGAGAAATATAGTGCGCATCCATCAATTTGAAATCGGTTCGTTCTGATTATACCTGATGGAGAGGAAAAGGGGGTAGGAAGTACACGACTTAGAAATTATGAGTTTCGTACGCGAATGGGATGATGTGCCACGGTCTCGATCCTTTAGCGAGACACAATCCCTCAGGAATCCATCCGTCATCTCTTCTTTCTCCGTGGGCGGGTCCTCCCAAATTCCTTAGTGCAACTCCACGCCACTCGAGAAGAATTTCGGTGCAAAGTGACAAAAACTTTCGGGCCCAAAGCCCACGTAGCTCCTTAAAGCTTTCTCATCTAGAAAAGATTTTTGCAAATAATCTAATGAATCTTCAAAGTAATATTAATATAAACATAGCACTCGCAATCGTGCGTACGAAGCGAGGGTGGAGGAGAAAATTAGGAAAGGTTATACGCGGGCGAATGATCATAAGTCCGGTGCCATTTTGTCAATCACATTGCATTTATCCTGAACAATCATATTGAGAAATATACGTATTTTCGCTATAAATTGTTGCGCACCCGTAAAATCAGAATATGCTTTTTCTTTAAATTCTACCTAAGTCCACATTTTGAAAAGTCGATACAACACTAAAGTAACGTAATGTATGTCTAAACATAATCAGCTTCCAAACTATAGACCACTCGCACGTGAATGTTCGGTTTAATGCCCCCCAAATTTTGCCATTTACTCCACTATCTCTTGGGCAAACCCGTCTCTCATGCCCCCACCATGATGCGAGTGGGGAGCCCAAAACAGACGATACGGCTAAGACGAAACCCGAATTACGCAAAACCCGAGTGGCGTTTCTTGAGGGTGGATGATAAAACTGGGTACATATATATGGGTGTTATTCAACACTTTTCAATTCTAAGGAACGTGTCCATCTTTTCCCAAATTGAAAGATGATAGATATAAAAAGAGGAAAGGAACATGGAAAGGAGCAATTATTACGTATCATTGAAAAGGAAAATAAATAAATAAATAAATAAAAAGTGCAATGATAAGTTTTGGGGGGGCCGGCGGTGGAAGCGGATCTTGGGCTGGAAATGATGAGGAAAGTGTCTCTTCTGGGGGTTCCTCCCCTAGCCAACCACCGATCGACAAGTGGCGACGCCTGGGGCGGTGCTTCCACCGTCCCCACGAGCTCTCTCGATCGTCGATCCCATCATGGCAACTGCAAAGATTTGGTCGTTCCCATGCTCTCTTATTTTTATTTTTTTTTTTCTTACAAAAAAGTACCGAGGTTGGAGAAAACAAAAGCCTAGAGCAAACAATTTGAAATTCATAGCAATTGAATGCGATACGAAATGCTCGAATATGTAAAAAGGATGAGGAATTGGCTTCGTCTCTATATAAAATTATAATCGCGTCGCGCGCTGTTGTTCTTAAATTGAGGTATAGTGTGTGGACAGTTAATCAACTAGTGATCATGATTCAATTTGTCAAGGAAATGTCTTTATATGTTGACACTCGCCCTATGGAACAGCTTTAAATATGTCATCACTTCAACATGTGTTTCATTCGTCGATTTCTTTATTTGCATTAGAATCAGATTCTCTCGACCGAAAATCACAGAGAAAACAAAAACAAAGAAGAAAGTTGTTTGAAACCATCATGCAAAAGTCAGAAGATTCTCAAACATGCATGGTGCTCGGGACACGTCGATCGATTTAAGGGGCGACGATTCGGAGTTTTCGACTCGATCGGGATTAAAAAGCTAAACTAAAGATTCTCGGGTTGATTTTAGCCTCCGGATTGATAGCTGTCCATGTCGTTGTCGTAATTTAATATTGATCCGATCTGATTTGACGATGAATCGGGCGTCTTAAGGAACGAATTTGAATGAAAGCAAAGAGGCCATTTTTTTCAAGTGTGAATACCTTGATCGTGACTGAGTTACCAAGAGAAAAACAGCCCAGCGCAGAATCAGATGCAAACTGTCTACTTGATGTTTCTTGATTAGGCCATTTTCCAATTCATCAATAGAGAAAAGACAAAGAAAATTAAGAGAGAAAAACGAGAGTTTCTTGGCTGCTTTTGAGACAAGGAAAGTGATGGATCCACACCATCTTTGCTTTGCCTTGCCCCCTCTACCAAAAGCTTTGACATGGCCGTCCATCTTACTTAGAAAAAGGTTTAAATTCACGATGAAAGTGTCACGTAAAGGATTAAGTGTAAATGTGTAATTATTGGCTAAAGTTTTGAACTTTAGTGATGATAAATTTGTCCGGATAAAAAGGAAAGATGAGTTTCGATTTCACTCGACGAGTGGCATGTGTGTCGAGATTCGTATTGGATAAACTTTTTCTTTATTCAAGAATAGATAGGAATTTGTCATTGAATTTTGCTTTGACTTTTTTCCAAAAAAAAATAGGAACATTCACAAAATGTAAATGGTGACACATAAACCCAAGTATAATTTCTCATAACTTTTGAAAATTCAAATAACATTTGAAATTTAACGGGAAAACGAAAAGTTCATTTCAATTGAAACGGTGGTCATGGATAGAGGTGTGCAAAGGAATCGAGAACCGCCCAGAACCGAACCGAGCCGAACCGAAGTAGCCCAGAACTGGCGATTCTCATGGGGACCAGTCCGATTCCCAGTTTCAATATACTAGAACTGGTGAGTACCAGTCCGATTCCTAGTTCCAGGCGTAGAATCGCCCACCTATCCATCCGAACCGATCAGTATATATATATTAAAAAAAATTATAGCTCACTTTCAGTAAAAGTGAGTCTTTCTTGTTTGATTTTTGTCATTTACCCTACAGTCCTACTCATGTCTCACGGTCCTCAAAATAGGAACAAAAGGAAGAAATCCTAACCTCATCTTACTCTCATCATGAGAGTCTCGCGCGGCCAATCCTTCAACTCTGTCGCTGCATCACAGACTTGCAATCGCCTCACCTACGGCTCTCCCTCACATCTCGCATCAGGCTCTCGCCTCACCTTCAACTCTATCGCTGAGTTGCAAACTCGCAACCTAGTTAAATTTTCTGCGTAAGGGTATTCATTCTTTTTGCTGCTGTTGGCGAATTCGAATTCCGAACTTAGGTGCTTCAAATTATGTTGAAGTTTAGTTCGGGATTGTTAGTTTTTGACTTGTCGATACCTTTTGCTCTTGCTCTAGCTGTCACTCTGGGTGATTCTGCGCTTACTTGAGTCTCTGTTAGCAGATTATTTCAAGGAATATACTTGGTCACTATGTTTGTAGTCTGGTTATAAATCTGTAGGAATTGGGGACTAATTCCGTGGACTCACTAGAGAACCGGACCAGACCGGCAGTCCAGTTCCTGATTTCAATTTTTCAAAATCAATTCTTAGTAGGCGGTTCCCGTTTTCGGGGTGGGAGGAACCGTTTACCCGGATAATGCTCACCCCTAAGTATGGAAGTTATTTAGGAAACGATAAGTTTGACACCATTAAAGAAACTCGATAAACTAAAAACTTCGTGCACTCTCTTTCAACACTGGGTCAAATGTTCATTCAAATACCAAATGGGCCCCGCACACCGTAAAGTTTGACCACAGTAAGAAAAAACGACGTGCCGTATCACTTGTCATTACACAACCGCAACACCAAACTCATCTTTTTCCCCGAACTGCCAAATTGTACACTCTCTATTTGTATATATAGAGTACCCACATGAACCTGCTGACACAAAACTCCTAAACACTTCTCTCTCTCTCTCGATATCTCACTTTCTCTTTTCTTGAAGTCTTTGATCCCTTCGCAAGTTATTCAAGACCTCATTTTTTATGGGTGAAACCCCCCACCACTTCTATCTCCACCCTTCTCTTCCCTCCTCCAATCTCATTGACAGTTTCTCTCAGCATTCTCGCTCTCATTCTGATTGCTGTTGCTGTTGCTCTCGCTCCTCTTTGTCTCCAACATCAACCTCATAAGACCCAGCCTTCCGAACGAACGTCAACCAGTTAATCTCATATCCCATCCATTGAACCCCAGATGCATCCGGTCCTCTGTTCTCAGCCGTCATCCCGATCTTCTGTTCGTAGTTACATTTGCCTCATTCTACTTTATTTATGTAGAGGTGAGTAAAGCTCATTCCGCCATCACTCTCTCTCGTTTTTAATTAAAGAAACTTCATTTCAATGCAGGGTTTTTGTTCTTCGTTTATGCAATATCAACATTTTATGCCCATGTTTGATCGAATGAAACTTTTGTGGTGCTAAATGTACAGGCATATCAGGAGCTACATTCACTCTAATCAACCGGTGCGACTTCACAGTGTGGCCGGGCGTTCTGGCCAATGCGGGCAGCGCTGCATTGGGCAGCACCGGGTTCGAGCTCCCTCCTGGCACCTCGCGATCCTTCCAAGCTCCCCCGACCTGGTCTGGCCGGTTCTGGGGCCGAACCGGCTGCAGCTTCGACCCCTCAACCAGCCAGGGTAGTTGTGCCACCGGGGACTGCGGCTCCAACCAAGTCGAGTGCAACGGGGCCGGGGCAGCCCCACCCGCTACCCTTGCTGAGTTCACGGTCCAAACGGGCGGTGCCCAGGACTTCTACGACGTTAGCCTGGTCGACGGGTACAACCTGCCCATGCTCGTGGATGCGAGCGGCGGGTCCGGTGCGTGCCTTTCCACCGGGTGCGTGACGGACTTGAACCAGCAGTGCCCGGCCGAGCTGCGGGACGGCTCAGGCCAGGCCTGCAAGAGCGCGTGCGAGGCATTCGGGAGCCCCCAGTACTGCTGCAGTGGCGCATACGGCTCGCCAGACACTTGCCAGCCGTCAATTTATTCGCAGATGTTCAAGGCCGCATGCCCGAGGTCATATAGTTACGCATATGACGATCGGACGAGTACATTTACATGCACCGGCGCGAATTACGCAATCACATTCTGCCCTTCATTATCAGCAAGGTAGGGAGTTAACTGAGAATTTTGAGTCTCATTTCTGTTAAAAGTAATTTGCTTATGATTACTAACTCTGGCAAATTAATTTATCATCATCAGTACTTTAGATCAAATTATTGAATCGAGCAGAAAGACGTTATTTAAATTGCAAGATACAATTGTTCCATGTTACTTTTGCTTCCATACCACTCATTTTCCAGCCATACACATGATCGATTCCCTTTTGTATGCAAGAAGCTAACATGGCATATTTCTTTAGCTTGTCATGCACAAAATGGACGGCTCAGATAGGACTTTGTTATATAATATCACATACTCGTACGAGCACGTTGCTCATCAGATACTCAAACAAATAGAATAATGCTCAACCTATAGTTTGCACATCTAAGAGGAAAGTTCGAAGATGCTTTGCTAGATTTAAATGTTTCCAAGATTCTGAACCATGTGAAATGATCTATCAGCTTCTAATCTGCTGTTCTTTCGAAAATTTCGCAGTCAAAAATCTGCCACGGACGGGTCTTCGAATGCCGGAACGACAAGTGGAAACAGCTCGGGAACAACCAGCTCGGGAACAACCGATTCGAACCAGAGTCATCCGGACGACAACCCTCCATGGTTACTGGGTTTCACCATCGGAAACTCGAGCGGCACCCTTCTCTCTCGTTGCGATTGGCCGTGGCTTCTGTCTGTCATCGTCTCTCTATCTCTCTGTTCTCTACATTCGTAATTACTCTTTATAACACATTGTTCCACATACACAAGTTTTCAGTCACACCCTTAGACTAGAGGCCAATATTCGAGGCGACCTTGTGTAGATATTTCGAATGCTTTGTTGGAAACGGTAATACGAACTGTTTATCTTCGATCATTTGTTTTCGCCCGTTCGGCACGATTTATACTCTCAGCGATCTGTAAGTAAGGAATTACGGAAAGGAAGAGCCTCTTGGAGGTGGAATATGGTTCTTGAGAATGATATATTAAAAAAAAAGGGGGCTGTTCTGTATCATTCAAAGGTGTTCGCGCGCTCTGTTGTGAATCTGAAGAAATTTGGATGAGTGATGGCCACGGCCATAAAGAAGCCCACTTTGCTGTAATCGCAAGCCTCATGTCACTTCATTTTTCATCCCAAGAAAAACCAAGATAAAGAAGTGAATGAATAGGAGAGAAAAAGTGGATTGAGTTTAAACTCTGATCTATTTGCTAGCCGGTTGGAGTGAAACGATGACATCAAAAGTGGAAAGAGACACTAAATGCAACTATCAAACGGGCAGAATTGGATGAATCTAATCTTTGGAGAATCCAATCTGTTTTAATTGTTTGGAAAGTGGCTCTAGTTGTTTCATTCTAAGAAAAATGGCACAAGTGACCTCCGAACTTTAATCCATGTGCAATGTCAACCCTAAATTTTTAATCTGTTTTATGTAATCCTTTAACTTTAGCTCAACACGCAATATCGTCCTTGAATTATTATTCTGTTTAATACGATCCTTTAATTTTTTGTACATGTTCAATTTAGTCTCTGGATTAGACAATCCAAAGATTAGATGAATCCGGGGACATATTAATCTAAGGACTAAATTGAATATTTACCAAAAATTCAAGGATCACATTAATTGAAAATTTGGGAACGATATTACATATTGAGTCAAAATTTAAAGATGTTTATTCTATTGAATGGTGATAGTACAAAGCGTGAAAGGAAAGGGATCGCTCATATCTTCTACTAACAATGTGATGTTGGAAGACAGAAGATTCTGTGGAGTGTCAAAAGCTTCGATTCTTTCTCCTCCCTTTTTGATTTTTAGACCCCCTAGTGTCCTGCAGGATGAGGCAAAGCAAGGACAATGACTAGACTTGGGAGGGCATGAGCCACCCAACTTCCTAGTCCTCGAACGAGATTCTAAAATCCCATGAAGGGGACTCCAGATTTGATGTTACGTGGTCCTAAAACAAGATCCTTTCTTGCCTGGTGGAAACAAGAGGGGGATCTACCTCTATGCTAAGGATGAACAAATCCACGAGCTCATTCGTCGTTCCATCTAGCGACCGAAGGAACGGTCCGGGGATGGAGAGAGACTTTGCAATTTAGTGCGCTTGTATGACAACCAAACATGGTTGTAGCCGCTAGTGGCTCATTGGCCACGGTGTACTTCTTCCTTTGATCGACTATTAAACACAAGTGCCTCAAGCCGCCCACTAAGGATATATGTAGTAACGTTTCTGTTCCTAAAAACAATTTCTGTTCTATTTCTATTCCCTGGACGAGTTTTTGAGCAAAAAAACACATTTAGTAACTGTACAAAATCTCTATTCCCGAAGTAGAAAAAGAGCATAAATGCATTTGGTATGATATTAAAAATTTCTACTCCCAATTTTTTCATTTAATTATAAAATTATCAATGGAGACTTAATAATTCATGTTTGGATAAAATTAAACTAGAAATAGAATAAGAACATATTATGATATATAATTAGATGACCTTAATACAATCATAAAGAAAATTAATCTGTATAGACAAAGCAAATACCGGGTGGTGGTCGAGAAAATTGCAGTTTAGGGGACTTAACAATTCATGTTTGGATAAAATTAGACTAGAAATAGAATAATGAATTGGATGACTTTAATACAATCATAAAGAAAATTTCTCCTTATAGACAAATTAAATATCGGTTTTAGGGATTCGGATTTTGGATATTGCGGTTTGGGATTTAGGGTATAGGGTTTAGGGTTTACAGTTTAGGGTTTGGGGTTTTATGGTTTAACGTTTTAGGATTTAGGGTTTGGAATTACAATTTTAAGGTTTAGGTTTTAGGGTTTCGGGTTTGGAGTTTTGGGGTTTAGTGTTTTAGGTTTTGGGTTTGGGACTTTAGGGTTTGGGTTTTTGGGTTTAGGATTTGAGGTTTAGAAGGTTTAGGGTTTTAAAGTTTAGTGTTATGGATTTTAGAATTTGGGTATTGATGTTTAGGGTTAAGGTTTAGGATATTAGGGTTTAGAGTTTGATGGTTAAGGTTTTGGATTTTAGGTTTTGAAGTTAGGGTTTGAGGGTTAAGATTTTGGATTTTAGAGTTTAGTATTTGGAGTTTTAGGATTTTGTATGAAAATATCTTATGTAAGAGAAAGAGTGATTTTGTTTCTTTATTGTTTCTTTTTTTGTCCCAAAATCAGAAAAGTAAATTTTTTTTACTTCTTATTTCTATTCCAAATTTATTCCCAGGCCACTACTCTCCCGTTTCTGCCGTGCGCTCATCAAATGATCTCAAATTCTTATGACAGAAACAAATAAAGAAAAGTTCAGCCACCCATCAGCAGGAAGTAGGATCCGCGTCAAAGAAAAAATAAACTAGCTTGCAAATTAAACTCGAATGATCGAAAAAAGGCCTCATCTTGAGCGTTCTTGCGGAGGTGAAGAAGGCTAGTAAAGAAAAACATCCCTGATGATCATAACATTACAGCTATCCTACCAACTCATATGGTTAATCCCTCTTCCTGGACATTCAAAAACCCAGAGAATCTAAACGCAGTGGATATCAGATTTCGGGTTGCTCACTAGAGAAACCCTCTTTTTATCTAAGGAAAGATCCTCCCTTCAAAAAAGGAAATCCCTGAAACCGCCACGGGAATTTTACAACTCGTCCTTGGCTTCAGCAGTTTCAGCATCTTCATTAGCATCCGGCTCGTACTTGGCTTCAGCAGTTTCAGCATCTTCAGTAGCATCAGGCTCGTCCTTGGGAGTTGCTGAGGCTTCCTTGGATTCTGTCTCAGCTTCTTCAGCATCATCGTCCTCTTCAACAGCAGCATCTGGACTAATACTTAGGCCGGATTTGACGGAATCGTATATCCGGGAAGCGAAATCCTTCGGGTCGCTGAGCATGAAACCACTCTCCATGAGTGCTGTTTGGTACATGAGCTGGGCTGTATTCTTTACGCTCTCATCCTGTAGAGCAAGCAGACCATCATTAAGACAAACTCTGAGAAATCCAACTCATTGAATGCTGTCTCGCTATAAGCTTCCAAATCATATCAGACAAGATAAAACAGTAAGTGGGAAACCAAGGGTATACAGAGGTTGATTGCACAGGGAAAAATGCAACCATAAAGAAACTTACATGGTAACGTTATTTCATTTCAAGGTTGTGCAAGTTAGTTAGTTTAGCCAAGAATAGACAGAATACTAGTTAAAGTAATTATGAAATCTATATGTACCTCAGGGTCCTTCACCACCCTTTCTCGAAGCTCCTTGATGATTGGGTGTCTTGGATTAATCTCAAGGACCCTCTTTCCACGCATATATGCCTGCTTGCTAGCATCCGATAGGGTCTGTGACTGCATGATCCTTTCCATGTTTGCACTCCATCCATATTTTGAAGTCACCACGACACAAGGAGTGTTATCCAAACGATTGCTTATCTTCACGTCATCAACATTGTCACTGGCAAGCGCACCCTTCCACCATTTAGTCAGCTCCTTGAAGGACTCCTTGAGGTCTTTATCTTTTGAGCCTTTTCCGAGTTTCAAACCCTCCTTGGACACGTTCTGGAATTTCATATCTTCATAATCCATTAGGTACTGCATCAGGTACTCATCCACTGGATCAGTGAAGAAAATAACCTGCAAAGCGAAGACACAGACACCCATCAGCATCAAAACTCAACCACCATCATAAGAAAAGACTGACATGAATTATATTGAGAAAGGTAATGTACAGGAAGGGTAATTAACTCATTAACCCTGCACCTAATGTCAGCTGAGGATTAAAGAAAATTAATAGTTTTGCACAACAAAGAAAAGAAAAACACAAACCTCATAATTTTTCTTCTTGAGTCTCTCAAGGAATGGCGACTTCTCCAATAGTTCCTTGCTGGTTCCTGTTATATAAAAGATATCCTTCTGGCCAGATTTCATTCTTGAGATGTACTGGTCCAGTGAAGTTAATTGACCATCAGACTTGGTACTGCAGAAATAATAGGAAACAAAAATAAGTGATCAGCCAAAATCATCCGGTCCCATATGATATTTAAAAATGCAACAACAGACGACAAATCATACCTCTCAAATCTGAGGAGCTTAGCCAACCGGTTTCTGTTAGTGGCATCTTCAATTATACCGAGTTTAATGGACTTGCCAAACTCATTCCAGAATTTTGTGTATTGACCTTTCTTCTCATCATCTTCATCGACAGATTTTTCAGCATCTGCTCCCAACGGCAAAAAATCCATTAAGCAGGCAGAAAAATATGAATTGGAAAGATCATCAAACTGTTTGAATGAACAAAAGACTAGCCCTAACTCGTAACAAAGTTATCACAACTTATTAAAGCAATCCCTCAAGAAATCTAGCGATGCTTCAGAGAGGAGAAGTAAACATTAAATTTCATGACATATATTCATATACAGAGGAGATGTTACTTCAAGACGAAAGACGGTACCTTTCTTGTCTTTGTTGTTAGCATCTTCCGGGTCCTCCTCAGCAATCTTACGGATCATATCAAGTGCCTTCCTGATAAGTTTCTTCTTAATTGTCTTCAAGCTGCTGTGTTGTTGAAGCATTTCGCGCGATACATTCAGGGGCAAAGTGTCGGAATCAACAAGACCCTGGGAAACAACACTTCTTTGAGAAACGCAATCTAGAAACCCATATTAGAAAACCAAGTTTCTCATTATGGATAAAAGAGCTAGAACTAAGCAAACTCTGGTTACCTTCAAAAAGTTCAGATACTTGGGCAAAAGCTCATCAAATTCATCAGAAATGAATACCCGTCGAACATATAACTTCAAGTTCGATTTGTTGGAATTGTAATAACTTTCATACAGATCCTGAGGTGCTTTAGGAGGCACAAAGAGAACAGACTTGAACTCAACATCACCTTC